TATGAGGCATCTTGTCCTCTAACATACCCTGGGAAGAAATCTCAGCCGGTATGGTGGTCACAGGACCTTGCAACCTTGCGGAAGGCTGCAAGGAAAGCTTATAATAGAGCTAGTAAGACAAAGCTCAGTAAAGATTGGGATGTCTATAAAAGACAATTCAATAGGTACAAGGGCGAAATCAAGAAAGCTAAACGTGAGTCTTGGGTCTGCTATAGCGAGTCGATCGAAGGAGTCAACGAAGCGGCCAGATTCCGCAGAGTACTCTCTAAGGATCCAAAATCCATAGGAAGTATTAAGCGAAGTGATGGAACGTGGACAAACTCTGGTAGTGAGACTCTTGATCTTCTATCATCAACCCACTTTCCTGGTTGTAAGGACTATAGGGAAGATGCGCAGTGTGTGCATCAGCCTACAGTTCGGACGAGGGAAGAGGAGAAGATGATAGAAGACACTATAAGATACCCAAAAATGATATGGGCGATAAATATTTTTCAACCCTACAAATCTCCTGGTCCAGATGGTATAACACCGGCCATGCTGCAACACGCAGATGAACGGATAATATCATATCTGCAGGACATTTTTAGGGCTTGTTTACTTTTGTCGTACATACCCAGTCTATGGAAAGAGGTTACCGTGACCTTCATCCCGAAAGCCGGGAAGCCGAGTCATACGGTACCTAAAGACTATAGACCGATTAGTCTTTCTTCCTTTCTACTAAAAACTTTAGAAAGGTTACTAGACTCAGAAATTAGAGATACCATTGACCGTAATAAACTTAGTAAATCCCAACATGCCTATATCAAGGGCAGATCAGTGGATACAGCTCTGCATGAGGTGGTTGGATACATCGAGAAGAATATGGAGTCCTCTGGCTACACGTTGGCAGCATTCCTCGACATCGAAGGAGCTTTCAACAATGTGAAGCTAGAGGCAATCCATTCTGCTCTCGTAGACATAGGTATCCCCTCACTCCTTACGGAATGGATTGATAGAATGCTGGAAAGCAGAATTATCAACTCATCCCTAGGAGAGAGTTCCGTGAGGAAATCTGTCAACAGAGGCACACCTCAGGGTGGAGTTCTTTCCCCCCTTTTGTGGCTTCTGGTGATAAATGAGATACTTATGAAATTCAATCATCTCAGGATAAAGGTTGTAGCCTATGCCGATGATGTAGTCTTGTTGGTTGGGGGTAAGTTTATTACGACAATATCAGACATCCTGGAGGGTGCTCTTTCAACCCTGTCAAATTGGGCTTGCACCAAAGGTCTTGGTGTAAACCCCACAAAAACCGAACTGGTACTCTTCACTAGGAAATACAAAATTCCTAGTTTCCGTCTGCCATCACTTGGTGGAGTGACATTAACCCTTTCTGATGAAGCTAAATATCTTGGCACTGTCCTAGACCGCAAGTTACTGTGGAATAGGAATGTCGAGGAACGCTTTAAGAAGGGATTGATGGCACTCTATTCATGCAAGAACTCCATAGGCAAGAGTTGGGGATTGAGACCCGGAATTATACACTGGTTGTATACGACGATTGTCTTACCCATACTTACCTATGGATGTCTTGTCTGGTGGCAGGGGGTGAATAAAAAGAAGCTGCTGACAAAACTGAGCTTAGTACAGCGATCGGCTTCAATTCTGATCACTGGAGCATTAAGAAGCACACCACAAGCAGCCTTGAATGCAATCTTGAATCTCCAACCATTGGACATTCTGATCAAATTCCAGGCTGCTAGGTGTGCCCTGAGACTCCGGGAAACAGATGCCTTGAAATCGCTGAACTATGGTCATGCCAGCATTCTAAACATAACGCCAAGTTATGACCTTTTTAGGGGGATAGTCATATCAGTGACTATATTCCCCCCACAGGGATTTTAATGACATTAAAGTCGAATTTCCTAACAGGGAATCCTGGACTAGTGGCTCCCTACCTCTGCCAGGTCTGTCAATCTTCACAGACGGGTCCAAGATGGAAGAAGGCATTGGCGCAGGCGTCTACTGCAGGAAATTAGGTATACGAAACTCATATAAACTCAACAATGTTTGTAGCGTTTTTCAAGCAGAGATTCTTGCAATCACGAAAGCGGCCGAGATAGTAAAAGCACTTAATACAGACTTTACAGGACCGGTGACTATTTACGTAGATAGTCAGGCGGCCCTGAAAGCGGTGAAGTCGCATACTATAAACTCGAAAGCAGTTCATGATTGTAAGACCGCTCTGAATGATATACGTCAAATAGTTGGGTTATGCTGGGTTCCAGGACATAACGATATTGAAGGGAATGAGATAGCCGACGAGCTTGCTCGAGGGGGGTCACAGTCGTCCAGTCTTCTGATTGAGAGATCTGTGAAACCCCCTATTAGCTATTTCATTGGCAGAATCCGCGCGTTCTATTGCGAGGTAGTCGGCAACAGATGGCTAAGGGAACCTGCATGCAGAATCTCTAAATCTATCTGGCCAGAATTCTCTCGTAAAAGAACGTCTTCGCTGCTGGATCACAACAAGAGGGAGATTAAGATCGTTGTGGGGATCATTACTGGTCACTGCAAAGTTAGATCTCTCACTTCTAAGTGGAACTCCAGTGGAGAGGATTACTGTCGTCTATGTGAGGATGAAGAAGAAGTGGAAACAATTGAGCACATCCTTTGCAAATGTCCATCGCTGATCAGCAGAAGACATAAACAGTTTGGATGTTATGAAATTGATAATCTAGTCTTCTTCTCCAAAATAGACCCTAACCTAATTCTAGGCTTTGTCAAAAAATTGACTTGGCTAAAATAATGTCTCTTCCGCTCCCACCTATTCTGACTACCTCTCTCTCTACTCTTCCACTATCTTTTCTTCTTTCTCTTTATAGGTACACCTATACATAAAGGATGATCACAATGGACATAGTTTCCGAGTGGACGGTTGTTACAACAGCCTAACCTAACCTAACCCGGCGCCTTAACCCATTTTTTATAGTTTTAATGGGCGAACTTGTGGCTCTTGTAAGCTCACTTTTTCTACGGGTGATGAAAATAGATACCCCAGGTGACGCCGGGAGGTCAGTGTCCACAATTGAGATGAAAGAGGAACTATGATAAGCATGGGCATTGCAATGTTGAAACCAATCAGAGCCGTTGGTTGGTATCTATCATCCCCTACGCCACCCGAGAGAAATATCACATGGTCGAATAAAGAACCGATGCTTTTGATTTGATACTTCACTTTATTCATGGTTCCATGATGCAACAATAAGGTGATGTATCAAAACAAAAACATTATTCCTTATAATATTTCACATGGTTGGCAACATTGAATCAATAGGTTCGTTCCCGTACTTTTTGATAGTAAAGCTAGTAAAAGAGCGAACTATCAAAAATTACTCTCACATACAAAATTTGCGCAAAAAGTAAAGGAACGAAAAATAGTTAAAACATGAAGAAACGTCAAAATCAAAAATTTCATCAATTAAGGACAAAAAAAACTACTGAAACCTAATGCACACAAAGAAACAAAAAGTTAAACGGCGTGATTTTGATAATATTAATTGGTCTGTTCCCGTACTGGAAGAATTTACTACTTTTTACTACGGGAACAGACCAAATATTTATTGTTTATTTTTTATTTGTTTTATTTTTAGATGAAAACATTATCGAATATTTGGAAGTGGAGTTTCCGACGACTCCAAGTCCGGAAAGCCTTACATGGCTGAACGCTCCCATAATGTTAATGTTTAGGCGCTCCACTCGGATCATTTTGAAATGATTACCGTAAGTAGCCCTCCTTGTGCTGACTACAGTGATATACATTTCATGTGGGGAAATACATACTTCCCGAGGCATTGACCTTGAAATTTCGGAGCATATTTTGTTTAAAACAACCTTTTCACATATGGAGAAGCGCATACATGGCTACGCAATCCAAATTATTTTTTTAAATTGTATATACATTATGATGATATATTCTTCATCTAGTTTTAAAGCACAAACCATAACCTTTAAAATGATACTCATATTACCTTGCTGGAAATAGTCAAACGGCTGATTAAAACAACATACTCTCCGAATTTTCAAGGCCCATATCTCGGGAAGTATGCATTTCACCCCATAAAATATATATCACTGTAATCAGTTCACCGAGGACTACTTACTGTAAAAATGTCAAAGCGATCCAAGTGGATCCCCTAAACTTGACATAAGCCCAAGATATTTTGGGCCAATGTACACACTTTGGTTAGTACGATTAACCAATAGAAGTTGATTATGCACGTTCCCAACCCAGGTCTTCTTTCTATAGTATCTTCATCTGAATCTTCTGCCAGCCATTCATCTTCGCTATCCTCCAAAAGAGAATAAAAAATCTGTTTGTCCAAATAAGAAATTTGTTTTTTTTTTTTCAAGCAAATGTGTGTGCGTCTGTGCGTGTGTCCCTTTGTTGGAGGGCTAACTTTCATGTGCTTTATTTCGGACTGTATATCTCTGGCAATCAAATGTCAAATTCATAATTTACTATATTTACTATTTCGTGCTAGGCCAAATTGGTCTTGCAGAAAATAGGAGAAGAGAACGCCATTTTGGTTTTAACTCTCTTAAATTTAATTTCAAATTGTCCTACTTTTCGGCGTAAGGGAACGCTTTTCTAGCAAAAATTGTAAAACTAGTACAATATAGTACTATATTGCAGGTTTGGGAACACAGCTAATGTAGAAATTATGCACTTTGACAGTTAATCGAGTCATCAGCTGCGCTAAATGAACTACCTATTTATTGTGCCATATTATGAACTATAAAGAGCGACTTTTAATGAACTAGTTTCACTTGCTCTTTCTACTGAATCGTTCTTCTAATTTCCACATTGTCAGAGTTTGAATAATATGAGTTTAGCTGAGAGGTATTTTTTTTCCAAATAATTACAGCATGTTTTACTTGTTTCTTTTTTTTGCATGTCCATATATGATTCAAATTGAATTCGGCTACCAAATACACCTTGAACATGATGTGACCCCAGAATGGAAGGAGTACAAAATACGGCATATTTTTCAGAATATGAAGATCTCGAGGTAATAGTTTTATCTTATCATTACGGAAATACATGATCTTATTTGTGTATAAAATGTTTTGATCGGAATTGTTTCGGGTTTCAACATATTCTGCTATATTTGCAATATGTAAAGAGTTATGGGATAAAAAGTAACTAGTTTCAGAAAAAGTAAATTTACCAAACATCGTTGTGAAGATGTTAATGATGACCTTACTTAATTTGCTCTATGTAGAAATTATTTAAATGGAACTTCGAGCATACACTAATCTTTTTTTTTAAATTGTAAGTTAAAATCTCAACAACTCTTGAAGACAGCAGATTTATTTTGTAGGTAGGCATCAACGGCAGAAGTGCTTCTCAAACTGTAAATGCGTGTTTTTGCAAATGGTGGGCACGATAACTCAAAAACGATTGATTCAATCCCTTCCAAATTTTAACTTTTTTATACTAAATAGTGCATATTTTTTATTTGGGTGAATGAATAAAGCAACAGGTATGAATTCATTGTTGGTGTGTATGGTTTTTAGGAGGTGGGTGTGAAAAAAATGTGCCAAGAGGGAATGAATAGAACTAAAATCGTTAAATTTGATATTAGGTTTATTAGAAAACTGTGCACTAACATTAACACATTTGGTATCAAGTGAATGAATAGTATGGGAATCGATGTACAGGGTTTAGGTTTGGAGGGGGTTTTCTTTGTAAATATTACTAAATAGATTGAGTATGTTTTAAATGAATGAAACTTAAACTTTAGGAGGAGGATCAATATTGTGCAATTATAAAAAAAAAAAAACAAAAAAGACAAAATTTTATTTGTTCAATCTGTAACCTCATTCTCGACATACAGTATATCATTAAGATATAATAAACATAATCATATTTTAGGTACATGAGATAATGTTGCGAGACAGACCTCGACAAGAAGCGTACAAAAATGCTATTATGCAAAACGCAGCCTTATTCCGAAACAAAGTGGTTATGGACGTGGGTGCTGGTACTGGTATATTGTCAGCATTTTGCGCCAAAGCTGGAGCTAAATTGGTATATGCTATTGAAGCTTCGAATCTTGCCAAAATCGCGCTGTCGGTAATGGAGGAGAACAACTTAACATCCATTGTAAAGGTATGATATAATAATTAACTATAATATTACATACACAATAATTTATTTATATTATATACCTGCTGTATTCAATTGCTCGTATGTGTAATAAATACAACAAATTTCAATTTTTATAAATATCAGAAAATTCTGACCGATTGTAAAAGAGGGGCTAAAAATAGAAGACACGTGTATGGGATTTTGAAAGTTTACGTTGGGAGGTAGCCTAAAAAGGAGGGTCAACATTTTCTCGAAACCCTTGCATTTTAGGTATATGGTATATTGCATTATTATAGTACGTTTACATTTAATCGGATTTCGTTAACCCAGTGGGTTTCAATTGTCAATTCCTTTGCATATATGTCAAATAAATCCTCATAAAGTAGGTTATCCCATGGTATAATTATTACAAGGTAGGGCACAGCTACCGACTGATTACAATTTTTTCTCAAGGTGACTTGTTCCATCTAATGAAAATACATATGTTGTGTATGTGTGTGTATTGTTTTGAATACTATGTCAAATAAATTCAAAATAAATTGAAATATATTCAAATTTAATTGAAATGAAAATGTTCGTTCGCACGTTCTTCTGGGAGTAATTACTTTGTTATGGATGAAACAAACATTTGATGGTATTCCCTACTGGATTTTGGGAAGAAATCATAACCTTTCATTCATTTTTCGCGTTTTTAGTTTTGTGTTGAAGAAATGTCAAATAAACACAAACACATGTTGCGTATATTTATTTTATTTTTGGCAGAAGAGGCCACACGTGCATGGTTGCTTTTTTGTTATTCGCCTCAAGCTGCCCTACCTTGTATTATTGTACCATGGGTTAACGCGGTAAAAAGTTCTAATGTATATGCCGTTTTACTGATATAAACGTGAGCAATATTTTTGTCTGAAGGAATCTTTTGGGCCCTCTTTTCCAAAAGTGATTGAAATCTCATTTAAGACGGTGCTATATCAAGTCGGAATATTCTACAATAAATAGTTGTTTTTATAAAAACAACAAACTGGGATTAAGCCTGACTATTTTGCAATAACAAAAAAAATATTTTACTATAAATCTCAAAATAGACCAGAACACGAATATCAGCGTAAACGTCAAAGTTTTAGAAATATGAAAACCTTAAATTAAAACCAATCTTATTCTGAGTTTGTGCCAATAGATGTCGTTTTAGAACGGTGGTACCAAAGACAAAAATATTCCCATCAAATGTTACTATATGTCACTGAACAAGAGAAATCTATATATATATATATGTTCATTTGGGACAAAAAAATTCAAATTTATTTAGCAAAATTTTCATAGCAATTTTCCAGTAACATGAAATTTAATTTTTCGTTCATAATGTATTACATACTTTTACGGAAGTGAGCCAATTTGACTCATACCAGAAAATTTAGGTTTTCTGTGAGGAAAACTGTTCTAATTCAATTTAAATAAAATATTCTTTATCAGAAAACTCAGAAAACGTTTTTACATATAAAATCAAATTTTCGATAACTTTCTAAATGAATTGCCGCTGATAACCAAACTTTGCTCATCGTAATTTATGTGCGAAGGGTTTGTTGAAAAATAAATTTATAATATCCTGCAAAATGATTATCCGTTTTGACTCAAACTTTACATAATATTTAAATTAAAAGTATTGAATTTAAATGTATTGTGTATTGAGACTTATAGTGAAATTTGAATATTCTTAATATGCACAAAAAATAAAGCTCCTTGTTACTTTCATACACTTAATTGAAAAAAGTATTGGCAAAGTTCTATGAAAAAATTCATGGTATAATAATAAAAGGTAACAGCAAGTGTTGTTTTACAAAAATCGATACAACAACCACATGGAAATTTGTTGTTGTAAGTTCTACTAGTGTCAACTCATTTGACAGAAAAATCGTCAAAATAAAAATTGAAAAACATGAATGAAAATCTATCAAATTTATATTTCTATCGCTTCCACATCTTTCCTTTAATTGAGCCATTGCCATATATATGTGTAACACATATGACAATGCTGGGAATAGCGAGTAATTCCTTCAAGAAAGATTTGCTTCCTCAAACTTTCCCAGCAGGCAGATTGAGTAAATTGAATACGGGAGCACATTAATAAAGAACAATTCCAAATTGTATGCGTTCCCAATTTTCCTGTTGGGTGATTTTTAAAAACATAATTTGTCAAATTCATATTGACACTAGTATTACGTTGGAATCAAATCAGCTGGGATTTGCTGTTACCTTTTATAATTGTACCATGGAAAAAATTTATAAATAAATGTGAATTTTTTGTATATGGGCATTTCCAGTAAAAGGTAAACCAAAGTCGAAGAATTTATTTCTTTAATTGTGCTTAACCCTTTGTGGCCCAATGTTGCCCACAGGCAACAAAATGTTTTAGAGCTTATATTTAATATGCAGCTAGTAGATATATATTATTTGGATTTCATATGTCAAGACCTGATTATGGACGATACATATCAAAAGAAAAATCAAAAAAATTCAAAATGTTGGTAAAGTTATGAGCTTTTCAATATAGAGAAGAGGCTAAATTTGTGTACAGTACCAATTTGTGTATACAGTCCAAATTGTTTAAATCGCTTCGTATTTAAATTGTATGAATTCTGCCATCAAAATTATTTTTGATTCTTGTAAAAATTAATATAGAGAATAATTTAAAATGATTTTTCTGTCGATTTTGCATTTGGCTTTCTTGATATTGGACTTTAATTTTTCCGAAAGAATGTACTGTATCTCCCAAATGCAAGGATGTAGCGATGTCAAATTTTGAGCATGTCCTATTTGGGATAGTTGCATTAAATCTGTGAACAGGAATTTGTTCTATGATTGCGGAAAAAAATTCGGGGCTCAAAGGGTTAAATACGTGAGGTAAAGGCAAAAAAATAAAACTCGAATAAAATTAGTTTTAACCATAAAATGAGTTTTGCTATTCTGAGGCTTAAAGTAGAACTTTATGGCGATCATTTTTATAGAATATTCTGACTTGGTATAGCCCAGTCTTAAATGAGTTTTCAATAATTTCATAAAAAAGGGACCGTGTCGATTGAGGGTTAACATATTAGGCATTATTTTTACGCATGTGCAAGGCACTATGCAGGAGCAGGTATTCCGGGATATAATTTCGCTCCTTCTAATTAATATCCATGTCCGTCTGTCTGTTGTAATCACTCTAGCCTCTAAGCAAATTAAGGTATATCGCCAAAATTTTACATTTATACAAAAACGATGTAGGATAGAATATAATTTCGAATCGCGCTACTTCGAGGTCACATTTTCCCCACAAAGACACATAACCAAGGCCTATATAAGGTCGGCTAGTAAGCACAGGTGAGTATAAAGTTTGTTGTCAAATCATATTTTGAAACCTATACATACATTCAAAATTATGTTAGACGTCAAAACGAAAATATTAATATTTTGTCAACATTCAATTAAAATTCAATTTATATCGCCTTTGTGAAGCACATTTGGACTATTTTAAGAGTTTAAAGTAGATTTTCAAGTAAATTATCATACAATTACAGATTGTGTTGTGTTTTGGCTGTGTTTTTCATTTAAAGGCGAAACAAAGAGTTTTCGCCTCGGCAAAAAAAAATTGACGTTAAAATTAAGTTTTCTCTATGAATTCGCTTACTGGCCGAACTTATATAGGCCTTGCAGTTATGTGTTGTTGGTATTCATGTTACAGCAATAAAACAAGCAGTCCGACCCTGCCTGCATTCACAGTTCTAAATAAGAAATAATATTTAAAGCAAGGCCTATATAAGGTCGGTCAGTAAGCGAATTCATAAAGAAAACTTAAGTTTAACGCCATTTTTTTTTTGCCGAGGCGAAAACTAATTGTTTCGCATTTAAATGAAAAACACAGCCAAAACACAACACAATCTTCAATGTGTAGGATAATTTACTTGAAAATCTTCTTTAAACTCTTGAAATAGTCCAAAATGTGCTTCACAAGGACAATATGAATTAAAATTTAATTGAATGTTGAAAAATATTATTATCGTTTTGACGTCTAACATAATTTTGTATTTATGTATAGGTTTCAAAATATGTCTTGACAGCAAACTTTATACTCACCTGTGCTTACTGGCCGACCTTATATAGGCCTTGATTTAAAGCATTAGCAAAAAATAAAAACAAGAAAATAATATTGCCCCAATTTTGAATAAAAACAGAAAACAAATAAATATAATTTTTTATTGCTGTTGAACTTTCTGTTCAATTATGATTATTAAATTAAAAATTTACTTATTAAAATTATGTGCTAATTATTTAATATTTTATTTTTAGGTCATCCACGATAAGGTTGAAAATTTTGTATTGCCTCCATCAGCTGAAAAAGTGGATATAATTGTTTCAGAATGGATGGGATTTTACCTACTACATGAAGGCATGTTGGATTCAGTCATTTACGCAAGAGATAAGTTTTTAAAATCTGATGGTCAAATGTTTCCTTCTGAAGCAACAATATATGTTGCACCATGCGCTGTGCCTTCTCGTTTTGATGATTGGAATGATATTGATGGTATTTCTTTGAATTCATTCGGCAAAATGCTCCGGCAACAAAAATCGAACAAACCAGAAATAATATATATGTCACCCGAAAATCTCCTCCACAATGGTGTTGCTATGTTCTGGATGAACTTAAACGAAATTCGTTGTGATGAATTAGAATCCATCGTCTTTCAGGAAGTTGTACCCTCACAACGTCAAGGGAGACATCAAGGGTTTTGTATTTGGTTTGACTGCAGATTTCCAGGAGATAGCTATGAAAATGCTGTAATTCTGTCTACTGCTCCTAGTGCACCAAACACACACTGGAAACAATGCATAGTAGTACTACCTGATACTGCATGCGAAGAATTAGAAGAAAATTCCCCTGTTGCTTTTAAAATATCAATGATTCGTCGAAGTGATGATATACGAAAATATAATTTAGAAGTAGAATTAATTGATCCAAATGTAGTAGAACATCCTGTACCTTGCGAATGCCATTTAACCAAGTGTATATTAATAAAAACGCATCTTCAAAATATGGATAATTCATAAACATGAATGACGTGAACATTTTAATTATTGTAATTAAAGGTATACGATATCGAGAGATTAAATTCATAGACTTGATTAAGACACACAAAATTGTCTTTGCCTTGAATCAAGTGGTCTATTCCCATACACTATGTGATGTATCAGATTCTTGCAAGTTCTGGAACCTCGCAAATGTTTATTTATAATTTGACTGATAATGCCATATACAGTCTTCCTTGTCTCCGAGATGTATTGTTTGAAGATAATATAAGTGAACAATATTAAAATTACGATGTAATAAGACCTATTTTTGTCTTTATACTGCTCAGATTGTAGTGGCGCTTGCCCCAATTCGGAGTTATTATATGTTTCTGTCTGTTAACATAGATGATAGCGCCATCTATTGATTGTGGCAGCTTAACATTCCGAATTTACCTATCAGTTTATTGACATTTTCTCTTCTTATTTAATTGATTTTTTTCGTCTTAACTGGAAGTAAATCACTGGTGCACAGCGTTACCGAGCTTTCAACATCGCAAAAGAGCTATGGCTCTGCCATTTTGATTCCTTCATCTTCAACAGTCAAGGTCAGCTCTAAATATTTCATTCGATTAATCAAGGAAAAAAGTGAAAGTCAATCGTTTGGTTTTTTCTTCAAATTATCATTTCTTTTGTTTTTAATTAATTTCGTTTGGAGTAAGTATTTTTTTTTTTCTCGTGAAGTGAAGAATTGTTGCAGTTATTTTTTTTATTGTATAATATAGCCTTGTATGGAACAAATTACACTTATTTCGAGCTTTATTCAACATCATTCCTTTAATATCCAAGGAGAAATTGAAGAATTTATGATCCACTGCGTACTAAATCTCTAATGTTTCATACATGAAATGGTAAACGATTTTTTTTTGTTCTATAAAAATTAGTTCTCTCTTATTATCGATATGCTTCTACATAGGTTTGTTTTTCGTTTTCATCACCAACCATATAAGTGAAGTTCTTCACTCTCACGCTCAACAACAGTTTCGATCAACGAGACAAAACAGTTCTCGTTGACCGTCGCCGATTAAGCATCGTCAAGTGGGTCCCCATATATATTTAAGAATATTTATATTTTCTGCCCTGACGGAAAGATTCATCTTCCGATTTTAACGCCAGTTTGTCCAGGACAACGGAATAGAGTTGCGATTAATACCCACAAAACGAGAGAAAGAAATACCCATATACTGTGTTGGAGGGGAAAAATGAAACAAAGTGATGAGTAAGAAGAAATTTTGTTTGTGTTATTTGCCAAAAAAAAGTGCCAAAAAAGTGTGATGAAACTTTAAAGAAAATCAATTTTATTTAGTTCCTGAAATCAGCAGTTCCAGCCAACAAACTCAATTTATTATTTTTCCTTTTTCTGAAATTGAAATAATTTTCTAAATTTGTATTGGTTTTTATATACTTAAAGTGCATGAAAGGTATACAAAAATTCTGGCAAATAGCAAATATCAAGTTGAAAAAAAAATGCAAAAGCAAACGGAAAAAAATCCCGTTTGCTTCAGCATAGTTCAATACCCAAAACAAAAGAAATAATCTAAATTAGCAACAACAACAACAGCAAAGCAAACAGCAGTTTTGAGTGGAACTAATCGAAGATCATTTTTTTTTTGTTCAATGTAAGGACAAATTATATTGGGTATTGATCTATGCAGAAATGTTGCTAAGTAGAGATATGAATTGTGTTATACAGAGTTAAGGCAAATGTTTAAAATTTCACCAACTGCGTTGGCAACATCCGCCGATAATTCAACTCTGTCTCTTGGCAACATTTCATCAAGTCAATCGGTCAATCTCTTTAATCGGTTCTCTTAATTAGTACAGCAACATTATCATCAACATCTAGCCGTGCACAGCAACATTGCCCGCAAAAGAAGAAAAACAAAAACAGCGCAGTCGGCGTAACTCCTGAAAGTACTTTCATCGAGGGACGGCGAGCGGAGATCAATGTAAGTGATTATTATAATGTTGATTTTGTTGTGATATGTTCTTCTTATTGAACGGGAGAATATTAGAGTGAACATACCTATATATATATACTTTTTTTTAATTTAAATTAATGAAGAATAAATTTATAATATTTAAAATTAAATAGTGAAGCTGTTGCCTAATGTAAATAAACATTCAAAATGAAATGTATTTTTTTTTATTCATATTTCTTTTTTATTTATTCTAATGCTAATTCTTTGATATGGTCACCCTAATATGTGCTTGTTGTTTTTTCTGGCTGTAGAGAAAACGATAAATGATTTTGAGTGTGATTCGTCGAAAGCAAGATTACAACATTAATAGTTCAACGAACTCCGTTGAATCATATGTGAATATAATTGCTCTAGCAAACTTTGCCAATATTTTGGTTTAAATTTCTTTTGTTTTTTTCGGTTTTTATATACTTTTATGCATTTTTTTCAATTAATTAATATATTCATTTAATTTTCGTTAGTTTTAAGTCAAGTATGATTTTCTTTAATTTTTGGATAATTTATCTAGTTTATTTATTTATTATTTCTTTGTGTTACCATCAAATTACTTGAAGGAAAACACACTATTAAAATGTTAATTTTTCGAATTGAGATTTTTATTAAAGATTTTATAATGAATTTGGAATAAATCTAATCTCATTTGTTTGATTCATTAGCGGTTAGGATAAGCTTGTTATAAAAATAGTTTGGGTCAAAATATAAAGAAAATGATACATTTGGAACAGTGCAACATATTTTGACAATGGTTGGGAGGGTGTTTGACAACACAACATCTAGTTGCCTGAATTCTGATATGATGTGTCTTTGGCCTTTCTCTTAAAATGCTCTCAATTGTTTCCAGCTTTTCCCCTTTTTGTTCCAGTAACTATTTTCCACCTCGATTTTCCGTATCCTATCATTCTGTTCTACACTATCCGTTTCCTCTCTCTAGTAATATCAAAGAAAGCACGCATACTCTTAAATTTTATATGTGGCATTGTGGCGGAACAAGCGTTGAGAACACCGAACCCTACCCACCGACGAGCGATAAGGCCGATGAATTTGCGTGCTTGTGTTTATCAATGCTGCAACAACACCAACCACCATCCGATTACCCCAGTTGTATGCTACAGAATAAATTTAATGGCGCCCACACGTGAAGGCCGAACAAGAAACTATTTTTGTATGTCATCTAGCGAATGCTAACGTATGTTCGGATCAAAAAAATATTTTTCATTTTCATTTTCTCTTTTAGTTGCTAATATTTCTTTTTAGAAAATGTAATGATTGTTAGGATATTGGATAAGGTCACAGTGTTAATCCTTTGCCAACCTATAATTATAAATGTTTTCTATTTGCTCTATTTGATTAGTATGGTTGTGTTAATATTTTGGTTTGATTGGGAATTCAGTTTCTGGTTACATTGAATACTAGTGCTGACCACAAACACACGAATGTAACATAATTGCATACTCTCCTCCGTATTTCTTGGAACTATAGAGATTGTACTTATATACCAGGGAATACTTCATATGTATTTCTTTTGTTTTTACTTTTACCACCATATCAGAAAACTTTTTGTAACAAGCTTCGACTACTCCGTTATGAATCAAACAGATGGTATTTGAATAGTGTTTTTTTTTCACAATTTATACTACAGTATTTATACTTTGGAACAGTTTTGGATCATAAAATTTTACTCAAACCTATTTAGTAATACCTGTATTGATATTATTTCATTAATTTTTTCTATTATTTTTGTGGTTTTGAATCTTACATCAAGGTGGTTTATGTAGTTCTTAATTTATTTTTCATTTTTTATTTGGTTGTTAAGAGTCAAAAGTTATTTATATTTATTAATTAGATAAACTATTATTGATACATTTTGTGAATTGATTTAGTTGGGTTGATTCTGTTTCGAGTTGGTCTGGTTGAACTAATTTTGGTTGGAAGTACATTAAGTCAGAATGTCGCAAGAAGTCGATAATGAGGGTGTACCCCCTGAAAGGAGGGATACACAGATAACTTGTGGAGCGTGTGCTACCGCGATCGTGGCAAAATCTAAATTTCAGAGAACTAATTGTGGACATACATTCCACAAATCGTGCTTATCTCAAAGCATGAAAATTCGTCCGTATTGTCCAGTATGTAATGTTCGAGTTTTGAATGAACCGACATCTGCAAAAGTTACTAGTGTGACAACAAGATCGCAAGCAAGGGAACAGACCCCTCAGCCTACTGCATCTGTGAATTCGGAGGGTCAGACAACTTCTACGGCGAATGTTTCAACAAATCCCATTGACGTTTCAGTTCGTTCTGAGGATTTGCAAGGTATGATCACGTCAACTGTTTCTGCCCAACAGGCGCAGTTGTTGACGAGCTTGGGGGATCAAATTGCTAGGTTGGTTCAAATCAGTATTGAAGCAAGATTTTCTCAGATGAATATTAATCAGGATAGAGCAGGATCTCCGGCCGTTAGATCAGCACAGTCCCAAAATGTTTCCCCCAGGGGAATGCAGACATTACCTGCGGTGGAGGAAAGGACATTTAGGGAAATGTTTGGTGTATCCTTAAATACGTCAGGTGCTCAGGCAACTCATAATACCAGCCATTCAGGACCCTCAGCTGCAGGTACTGTTGGGTCACATAACACTACCTCTTCGGACCTTATAGCAAGACCAGACAAGGTGTTGCATATAATGACCAACTGGAAGTTGAAGTTTGCTGGCAGCCCCAATGGGTTGTCAGTAGAAAATTTTATTTATAGGGTCAAAGCTTTGACGATTCAGACTCTTCAGGGGGACTTTGAATTGTTATGTCGGAATGCAAGCTCTCTATTTGAGGGAAAGGTAGCCGACTGGTTCTGGCGGTATCACCGCTCAGTTCCAGCAGTTTCTTGGCATGAGCTTTACAGGGCATTGAGACAACAATATGCCGACTCCAGGACGGACATCGATATTAGGGAATTAATCAGAGACAGGAAGCAGAACCGGGGTGAAAATTTCGACCACTTTTATGAGTC